AAAAAAAAAAAAAAAAAACAATAGTGGTAGTGGTAATTATTTGCTTCAGAGATTCTCGGACCTCGAGCTCCGAAGTATTCGGACCCAGTATGGTTCAAAGCAGAAACAAGAAACCGCGGCAGAGTCATCAGAGGAAGTTGCCAAAGCATTTCACGTGGAGAGGTTTCCAAACCCCAAGCCGCAACTACGCCCTGTGCATCGGAAGGCGTGTGCTTGGGGCACCTTGGCCGCCCTGCCTTGTTTCTCAAACTGTCAGATGCAGGCACGGAAATCCTCAGTTCAAGCCGCACCTGCATGGGCTACACGCTGTATGTTTCCCAGTCATGTGCCGTGAGTCTGCCTTGAAAATACCTGTGGTTTCATGCCCTCTGAGATCAGCACCAGCAAGCTCATCCTCCTGGTTTGACGGTTTCTATGCCAGGCAACTCGCAGAAGGCCAGCTCAATCCTGGAGCTGCTGTTTACGCCTCAGCTCTGAGAGCATTGCAACGTGAACGATGTGGTTGTTGTCGTTGTGGGTGCCGGTGCCGGTGATGGTGCTGATTGCTGCTACTGCATTTCGTTTGCCGAGGGGAAAGCGTATATATTGCTTCTTTAGCAATGCGTCCGGGTATCAACGATGTTGCAGTTCCCTTCAAACCAGAACACACCAACCTGTCGCAAACTGTTCGGTGCCAAAGAACGTTGGGGAGGAACATGGCGTCGAACAAACAAACCTTCCATCAGGACGGGGGAGCTATGTCGAGCATCGCCTCTCCTGCCCGACTTTTGAGCTATGCAAGGTATGTAAGACCATCAGCTGGAGCCGGGACAGGAGTTTCGAAAGACAGTGATACCGTATTGAGTACCCGTACGTGGAAAGTCGCAGCAGACAAAAAGCAACGCACCTAACCGTTCAAGTTCAACCGCCATAGGCCGGGAACACCGACCTCAATGCCAGCATCCGTCAAGCACGTCGAACTCCATCATCATCATCATCATCATCATCATCATCATCAGGATCACCACCCAAGGTTGCCATGAGATGACGCTGGAGCAGTGCTGCAAAAGAAGCAAGAGCATGACAACATAGCATAACTTAAGACAGTGGCATCCGCTCGGAGCAGACTTGTAGTACCCAGGATAGGACAAAAACTCGGATGATGTTGTTGAGGTTCTGAGGCATCCCGCCATCCCCGAAGCACTACAGCAGAGCACACTACATTTTGCAAGCTCCCTAAGGTCGCAGATAGTTCAACCCTAAACAATACGCCTGAGCCCTACACCTCGAGACCTCGAAACCCTAAGCGATCCCTGTAAAGAACTAGACGAACCTCTTAACCTCGAAACCCGTCAGCCGAACCCCAAACCCTGAGCCGCTAAACCCCAAACCCTAACCCTTGAGCCGGAAACCTTCATCTTCCGGCCACTGAGTAGGGAGCGGTTTAGGGGTTTAGGGTTTAGGGGTTTAGGGTTCGGGGGTTTAGGGGTTTAGGGGTTTAGGGGTTTAGGGGTTTGGGGTTTAGGGGTTTAGGGGTTTAGGGCTTAAAAGGTTTAGTATAGAAGCCTGAATCATCAGTCCTACTAATTCCTTTGCGTTCCTTATAGTCACAGAATCTAGCCCCAAAAAACAGGACTTTATTGGACTATTGGGCTCCCACACACAAAGCCTGTATAGTGACCCTTCATAGCACCCTTTAAAGAGCCCTGTTAGGGTTTAGGGTTTGCGGGTTTAGGATTTAGGGTTTATAAGGTTTAGGATTTAGGGTTTAGGGTTTAGGGCAATTAAGGCCCCTACACGACTGAGGCTGGGCCATGCCAGCAGCACAGCACCGGAACTCAACCGGGGAACCGTCCGAAGGGTGCGGGCCCTGTTGCGGTGCAATTTCGGGGGTCTCGGTGATTAGCCTATTTCTCTAAGGAGACGTAGTACTTGGAACAGGGTTTTGGGGTATGGTATGATATAGTATTCTTATAGTAAGGAACCCGAGGGAGCAGTATTGGCAATTCTCTAGGCACCTATATGGCCTCTGTTTCGGATTTTTCCGGGTTCAGGGTGCAGGGTCAAGGGGTGTAGAGTTTGGGGTTGGTTAGTTAGGCCTCCTTTTCGTTCTTGCATCGGTTGACACCTTAACGCTGGCGAATTCCGGTTAGTACCTTGATCCCGTGCGTGCGCTGCCGGAAGAAACAGCTCGTGTAATTTGCAGGGTCCCTGCAGTCGGCTCGACATTCACTTGAGACCTAGATAACCCTAGCCCTAAACGCTGAACCTTCAAAGGCCTGCTGCCTAAACCCTCAGAGCCCTCCACCCTAAAAGACTAAAGTCCTGCACCCTGCTCCCCCCAAGACACCTACCTACACCCCCAACAGTAGGCAAATCAGGGCCTAACATCTGTAGCAAAAGGGTCCAGGTAGACCTAAAACTGAAAAAACCTGGCGGAGGCCTTTGCTCGAGGTCTTGGCATGGCAGCGTCGGCATCTAAGATCGAAACATGGGTGGTTGTCAAAATTAGGGTTCCCTTTTTGGGTACCCTAAATATTAGGTGCCGTATTATATTACGGACTCAAAAAGGGACCATAATTTTGACAACCACCCACATGTGCGGCCAGTTCGTGTGTTTGGTTGGGGTTTAGGGTTAGGCGGCTTGTGACTGCAGCATGCGCATCGCAGATAGATGGTCGATATGTTGCGCTGCACTCATCTCAACCTCTGGCCAGTCATGCCATCATGTAATTGCACAGAACTCACCAATTGCAAAAAGTTGCCAAAGTTTACCCGCACCAGACGAGTCCATCTGAAAGATATATGGTCGTTGAGCTATGTGCCGAATGAGTCCCAATCACGCACACTTACTCTGCGGAAAACCGCAGAACCTGGGAGTTTCAGAAATTGGGGTACCTTATTTTGGGGTCCTTATAATAGGGATCCTATTGTTTAGGGCACTATATTAGGGTCCCCTATTGTCGGAAACCCCCACCTCGATGCTCAGGTCAAGACACCTTGAGCTGACGCTGACGGCCATTGCAAAGGTTGTGGGGTTCTCATTAACCCTAGGCTTCCCGAGACCTTATTATTGGGTCCTTAAGGGGTCTAGGGCCCTAACTATAAGGTCCTTGGAAGCCTAGGGTAATACATGGGTTCAGAAGACAAGATTGTTGGATCCTGCATCATGGTGCCGGCAGCAAACTGTGCCGTTAGATTCCCTACAAGTGGCATCCCCAAAGCTTGAGCTTTAGGTTAAGGGTAGGTGTCGCTTAGGCCAAGACGGATGCTGCCACGCGACGGACTGGCTCCTTGCAAAGTGCCTGGTTCGGGAAGAGCACTGCTGCGCAGCTAGCCGAGCAGCCGGGGCCACGGACTTGCCAGCACTTTCCCCAACCCCAGGGACACCCTTAGTTGGGACCTTGATACTGGTAGGTTTTGGCTGCATGGCTCCACTAGAGTCACTAGAGTATAGTTGGGGGCTAGGCAGGGTTAATAGGGGTTCCGGCTGAGTACCACAGCTTCCGATGAGGCGATTCTTACTCTAGGCCTCTAGGCCCACTACACAGAAATGTGGGGGTTGCCGAAAATTGGGGACCTCTTCGCCTGTTTGTAAGATTTGAGCCCTTATGTCGGATATCTGATATCTCTCAAGTGGCTTGCTGTGCTCCCGCCCTGATATGCACGCTTCTGCCTGAGACAAGAGCGCTCTGACCCCAGAGGTTGCATCTAGAATTTGTCCTAGTCCTGCCGACCGAATTGTTCCCGGACCATACACCATGGTTTGGCCGGAGGCTCCGTGCAACGCTGCTCCTCTCGCTGGGCTTTTGCGCACCCTGGGCGGAATTTGTGGGCTGGTGAACTTCGGGGATATGCACGAGGTCACGAGCCTGAGGTTCAAGGTCCAGAATTCCAGGATCTTGAAATTGCCCGACTAGGGTTCTGAACTGCTCTGCCTCCGCATTTAGGGTTGGCGCGCCTGCAACATTTCAAAACATGTGCATTGGCATTGGGGCTCATCGTCCCGGTCTAGATCGTAACATAGCTGGTTCAGGGCTACCTGAATCCATCAAGGAGATATGTGCAAGGGAAGTGTATACATGTGGCTTCCCCACCAGGAGCAAAATACAGCGCACGCCCCAGGCCCTCAATCCCTCAAGCAAGCGCTCTCACTGGTAAGCCCAGAAGATGAAGGCCGTTGACCCCAAGCAGTAAATTCTAACTTCATACTGTCCCGTTATGTCCCATTATGGCAGGCCATCCATTCTCCCGGGCCGATGTTGCTGCAGGAGAAGGCATTCCCCGTGGCTTCGAATTCTAACTGGGTGGAGTACCTTCTTCTGTACACATCGGCTAACCTAAGCGGGAAGGGGAGGTGGGGGTCTCCTAAAGGTTCTTGTTGAGTTACTAAATGGGAGTTTCCGAAAATAAGGGGTTCCTTATTTTGGGGTCCTTATAATAAGGATCCTACTATTTAGGGTACTATATTGGGCTACCCTATTTTCGGAAACCCCCAAAATAGATTGAACCCTTGTTAGCAGACTGTTACAGCAGGTGGCAGAGAGAGTCTGGTTGGCCGCTCTTGTGGAAGGGGTCGTTCCATGAGCTGTTGTCTTTACATGGTAGGGCCATGAAGAGGGCCAACGAACTTCCGAACTTCGGAGAGCATGGTATTCAGGGTGTAGGGTGGTAGTAACATAATGTGTACAATATGTATACAGGTCTGTGGACTCAGTCGGTGCTGTCTGCGTGTGTGTGTGTGTGTGTGTGTGCGTGCATAGATCACTTTTTTTATGACAGCAGAGTATGCCATGTGGGTGCCAGCAAAAAACCAAAACAACAAGATGCTAGCAGTCGCTTCCGATCTTCACTTACAATGCTGGAATGAAAGATCGGCTAGCCAGGCCTCGTGACCCGGTCTGGACTTGAACAGCAGCCACTCGTGGCTCTATCCTAGCATCAGCACGATTATCCGTATAATGACTAGCCACAGTCTTGATCATGAGTGTTTGTCCTTGGTGTGGTTGGTACGAGTTTTCTTTAGGATTGGTTTCAATTGCTTTGTGTTGTTGCCTGGTGTCGGCTGCTACCGCTTGGGTCTTGCAGCTTCTGCGGCCGAAGGGTGCTCCTACGTCTGAATCCCCAACACCTCTTGTTTAAAGGATCCGAATCACAGGACCCAACAATGCACCACTTCAATGTGTTTAGCTGGGGCCTTTTTTTCAAAGGTTCCATGTCGGTAGTTCTCTAAATTAGGGTCCCATTTTGGGTCCCCAATATAGTACGGCACCCCTTATAAAAAGGACCCCAAGAGGGACCCTAATTTAGAAAACTACCCATGTGTTGGATCCTTACGTCTAACGGTCCAAGGCCGCAGCCCGAGATCCTCGTAGCCTTCCCCCACTCGTGTTCTTGCCAGGCCCTGGTTCCCCTATTAGGTGGTATTATTAGGGGTACCCCTTATTAGGGGTACCCCTTCTGAACCCTACGTCTGGCTCTCTTAAAAGGGACCTTATTGAGAGGGTCTATATCCCCAAGGGTCCCCCTAATCCTAGCTCCCACCTATACACGTTCTACTTGTCAGCCAAAATATTGCAACAGATAGACCCTAACTAAATCCCCCATGAACCCTGAACCCTAAACCCCCCCATGAAGCCTAAACCCTACATGCTAAACCACCCCCCCCCATGAACCCCTGAACCCT